CCCTTCCAACAGCACCCATAAAGACAGCTCTGCCAACACCCTTAGTGTGCCCCTGATAGCAATTACTGCCATATTAAATAGTGACTTAAAGTAGATGCACATTCAGATAAACAGTGAAATATAAGGCAGAAGTGCTTGTCACAGCCCCCCAATTGCCAAGATTTGCATACTCTTATTTAATTCAACAGTTATATTTATGCTTTTTAGGTATATCAGATGCAAATACTTAAACAAATACGTGACTAATAATTTGTACAATTACTATTTGTTCACAAAACAAAAGCAATTTTTCTCAATATTTAGCTCAACTTTGTTTACATGCTTCATAATACTGTCATGCTATCAGCTATACCCTATGAAATTTAACACAGCTAGGAAAAATACAAAGAAGAAGAAAATAAAATCAGAAAGAAGAAACAGGCCATCTGTGAATGTACCTGATGCTCTCAGTGGGAGACAAGGCTGAAGGCTGTTCTAATTTTTTATAGAAGTCTGAATTGAAACCAGCTAAGTCTGAGAAAGCAAAGAGCTTGACAGTACCATACAGGTATAGTCAATATTGCCACCCACATCCACACAGCCAGCCAAGCCTTTCATTCATAGACTTTCTCTTACTCCCACTCAGCCCCATAGCTAGTGTTCCAAAAGTCTTTCAGGCATCCTTATGGATAAAAGAGGTAATTTAATATTAAGGCTTACACTGGGTAAGAACAACACATACTTAAGAAGACAAGTTCTGTGTCAAACTGTTGGAAAGAGTACTTAGGTTTCTACTGAGTTCATGAGCAACTTTCTAAGAGAAAGCAGTAACTTCCTGTAGCTTCTCATCACCTGTAACCTGAAACAGCTGAAGTCAGTTTACTTAGAGGGGCATCTTGTTCTTTCCTTACTATTTCTTCCTTCCATTTCAGAACTTCACAGAGAAAGGGATTTGAGATACTGGGACCTTAGCTAATTGGTTCCTGTTTCATTAATTCTTCAGTTTCACAAACACTTATGAGATAGACCTTTGTGCCTTTTGCTTATAACTTTTCCAGAGGTATTGCCAGACAGAACTGTCCCAGCTTTTAGTAACTTCGCTCTCTTTAAAATTACATTGATGAAGTTGGCAATACTAATTAGTGCTTATTTCATCCTACATGCAATCTAGAAATATGTACACTGAAGAACAGAGGCATTAGCTGTTGTGGCCCATGTTTGAAAAATTATCTTCACAAACATCAGGTGTAAGTCTCAATATATTAATATATATTAAAGGGTACAGGCCCTGGAGAACATATGGAGAACCGGAGAACAAATCTTATTCTATCAATGCTGTACAAATGCAGAATGGAGGCAGGTTTTGTAAAGAGAGAGGAAACACTTGATGGCCTACATCTTGATTTTAAAAAGCTTTTAACATTGTCTCACCATGGCAACGTACAGGAATATGGCTAGGTGATGCTGCTCTGTGATGGGTGCAAAACCATTTCTTAGGTGTACTTATGAACAGCTATTAATGAAACTTTGTCAGAAGAGTAAGACTCATCAAAGAAGGTTCCAGAGTCTGATCTTGGTCTGTTTCTATTTATTTTTTCCCTCTTGACCAGGTTGATAGAAAATAAATTACACTCATCTAATTTCAGATACAAGTAAGTGGAAAGGCACAGAAAGTATTCAGGAGGAAAGAATTAAAATTACAGAAGATCTTGTAAATTGAAGAAATAGTCTGGAAAAACAAAAGAAAGTATGCTATTCAACAGAGACAAATGTACATTTAAAAAGAAATAAGTAAACAAATAAAGGATGGGAAACAGCCATGGCAGCTCTTTCAACAGGATGCAAGGGCTATAATAAATCACAAAAACATGAATCATCCACAGCATGTTGTTCTGAAAATGGAAAACATCTCACTGGGATGTAGAAACTGTAACAGAGCTTAAAAACACATAAAGTAATGGCTCTACTGGGGTATTCTGACAGTACTGCACTTCAACAAAGTGGTGAATCAGCCACAGAAGGTCTAGAGAAGGACAGTAAGAACAATTTAAGGTATAAAATATAACAGCAAAAGACTGAAGCATTTAGAGTGATATGGAGGCATAAGGAAAGATGCAAAAAAGCTATTTTTTTAAGGTTTTGTCTATGCCAATAGTGAATAAGGTGAGAAATTATGACCTTAAATTGCATAAAGAAGAAAGATTCAGGTTATCCTTTAGGAAAATCTTCCTAAGAGTACAGACAATGAATCAGCACAATAGGGTGCCTCGAAAGATTATGAAGCCTGCTTCTCATCAGAAGGGGATGGCCTAGATTGTCTTGACAAGATGAATTCAAGCCCCATTTATCAGTAGTCTATAACTATGTTCTTCCTTATGCAGTACATACATACTTGCATGGAAGCATACATAAAATAGATAAACAGAACACCTCAAAACTAAAAATAAAAAACTTGGGAAAGAAATAAATTTTATTTTTTTAAATAAGTATTAAAACTTACACTATTATCTTTCCAATTTCCATCCTTTTAAAGCCAAAGCCATTTATAAAAGTGGGAGCAGAGTATGGCTAAAATCAAGGTATTTTCCAAATATGAAACTACCTAAATGGCATAGCCCCCAGTATTAAAATCTCTATTAGCTTTTATCTGATTAGGACAACTTGGTTTTCACCCAGTAATAAAATTGTAAAAATCCCTCCTTTTTTCTTTATAGAGAAGAAAAATAACAGAAATTATCAAATTCAAATGTTCATGGCTTGTACTTATATGCTGCAAAATAAATATTACTAATTTTGCAATAGCGGCCAAACTGCTATCTTTTGTGTTTTGTGTAATGATAGATTTCAGGATCCAACAGGATAGGCTGTATCATAACCTCTTCAAGTAAAAATCAATGAATGTATACAATAAAACAGTATAGTTGCATAGAGAAGACTTCATTACTTACCTATTAATTACATACAAATGTGCATCACAAAATGGATATTTATAAAATATTGATAAACTCACTGGTTATAATCCTGTTTTATAACACTCCTGATTTGAGGAAGCGTATTTAACATTTTGTAGCAAACCCTGTGTCTTACCCAGTATTTTAAAGTTTAGTAATCAGCTTTCAATTGATATTCAATTTACTGCTGGCTACTGTACTGAAAGGTGCTATATCCTGTTTACCTATTTCTAGACAAAAACAATTTATCAGTGACAAGTCTTCTAGGTCTACTAGCAATCTCTGACCTTTAAAATGCAACACTCAAAAAGACATATTGATAAGTGTGACTGTGACTCAGGAGACCAAATCTTCAGTCCTGTTTTTTTACCCAGCATCGCAGGCATGGACAAACTATTTCACCTGTCTTTGCCAACCTGCCTCCATCATTAAAAACATATTGGCCTCCTTTATTAAGCACTCTGGACCTCATTCAAATCATCTACCCATTTAAGCTTGTCTAAGGCATTGTAACTGCTTTTTGTGGGTGACTAGGTAGGCAGCTAGAATAACACCCTTCATTGCCACAAATAATTTCACATGTCAAGATAAGAAGGGTGATTTCAATCTGAGGCCTTATTCCACTGAGGATACATCTATCTTATGTTCCCCTGTCAAACCATCTTGAACTTGAGAACTCATGTGCAGATGGTTTTAGGCTCTACTGTGAACTCAGCCCATGTTCATCCAGGTATAACAATAACTCTGAAGGTTGACTGAGAGATCCAACAGGGTTATCCTTTGATATCTATTGAAGAAAAAATTTATATAAAATTTGATACTATCAATAGTGCTATTCAGCTAACAGTACTCGTACAACTGGTATGCTTCTGACTCCCAGAGGAAACAGAACAGTGCTTGGTTGAAATCAGGTTTTTCTCCCTTTCTCACAAGAAAAAAGAAAGGACACAAATGGCAGTTACTGTCCAGAAATTATTTGGTATCACAGAGTACTTCTTGTAGCAGGATTCTGAAACTATTTCTTGCAACTCTCTGGCTCATTCTGTATATTCAGCAACCTGGGAACCAACTGAAGTAATTTCAGCTGTAAAGGCTTTCAATACTCAAAAAACTATTCTGGAGTACAGTCATTCAGTCATTAAACCTTTTGACTACCTTCAAATTCAACTGGGGACAAGACAATAGTCTGGAGCACATGCCAGGAAAAGTGAAAAAAAAAAGCTTATCAAAGTCAAAGAGATGCATCAGAAGGACTGCAGCCTGTGTGTATGCTCTGTCATTTGAAGGGACTTCCCTATCTGTCCAGAAATAAAAATTTACAGTTGCAGGCTCCTGCTGGACCTTTGTCTGTTAAATAAATGAGATAACCAAAATGTTCTGACAGAGTAACTGCATATTTTCCATTGGGATGTGGATCTTGCCACAGCTGCCCATGCTCTTGCCACCTTTCCTGATTTTTTGTTCTACACTCATTTCCCCATGGGGATATCATGACACATTGCATCTATCAGAGATCATACTCTCCTGGTGACTCTGCAGGGTTTTTCACAGAACACAAATTGCACCTGTATTGCAAAATCTTCCTGACTCTCAATCATTTTTCTGGGTGACGTTCTGACTAACACTGTCTGGATCAAGATTGGTACAGATACACATGATATCACTTTCTCACTCCTCTTCTTAGTAACAAGATGATTATCAAAGTAATTCTGGGTGTTTTTTTTTTTCCCATAGGAATTATTACTAAAATCAGACAAACAGGATGAATTATATATTATATATATATATAATTATACAGAAATTAGTCATCACATTTGTATACTGGTGATAATCAACAGTTGACTCCTTATGAAGACATTGTTTTAAAGTTATTTAAATCCTGAGATCCCAGGCAAAATGTATCACAACTGCAAAGCAAACAGCAAGCTTCTCTTTCTGGCATGTGCTCTAGTTGAGCAGAATACTGACTGCACTCGATGTCTTTTCAGCACAAACATGAACTATTTGTTCTATTCATTTAAAAAACATTTTTAAATGGATACTGAAATTGATTTTACCAGTAAGACAGACCTATCTCATTAAAGCCACTGTAGCCCAGCTCTTGCCTGCTTAGTCCCAGATCTTCAAGGTCCATGCATTTAAATCCTGGTGGGCACTGGTAACCTTCTTCTAGCTCTCTGGAACAGTGGGTGTCTGGGATAGCTAAATTATTCCAGGTTACGTTTCTGTGAAAAATACAAAATTAAGGTGTTACATAAACTAAGACAATAGCAAAACTAAATATTTGAAAGCGAGAGGACTATAGTGAAAAGTACATCAGCTGTTATTTTTACTATCTGATGTTCTTTGGTATACGCTATTTTCATTAATTAAGGACTTATTGTAAAGGGCAAGCTAACACTCTCCTAAAACTTCAGCCTTATGTAGCGATAGTGCAAATACTAACAGCAGAAATTTCATACTAATGCCTAGAGACCCCATAAAAACAGAGACTCTCCAAGAAATGGAGGATTCGACATTCAGCTGTTCCAAATGCTCTTTAACGCAATTTGGACACTTAGTGTTTCAGGCTTCTTTGCAGATCCTGAGAGTGTGTTCAACTGCAGTCAATACTATGACTTTGACTTCCAAAGGCATTACCTGTGCTAGCTTTGACACTCCTTAAAAGGATCACTGTGGATGACTTGTCAGTCACCTGAATATTCAGATTGTAATTTGGTCAGGCCAGGTTTCCACCATGGATGGAGGGTCACAGGAAGGAAGTCAAACCATTACACGTGTAGTATCATTAGTATCTGTGACAGGCTCTGCTATGACTGAAACAGATCTGATTCCCTTTTAGACCAGTCCAGTAATGATTTGGTAGAATAGGTGAAAACATTTTAACTGGTTTGAATTGGTTCAAACTGATTTATGTTGGTGACTATAACATTGAAAAATAGAAAGATCATGAGACAAGGGCCAGTGCCTCAACACAATGTGTTGATCATTTTTTACTGTTGTCAGAGGTCGAGCATCACTTGTCTTCCCAGCTCCTCTGGCAGCTGTGGCTGAGCTGCTGGAGGCTCTGTCATGCTGGACCACAATGGGAGTTCAGGTAGGCCCAACACTAAGGGACATAGAAGCTAAAAGGAGAGGGAGGACAAGTTTGTTGCTCCCTGTTCTGTTAAATATGTGCCTGTGGCATGTACACATAAATATGGCTTATCTAAGTACTCCAAACTTTGGGAAGGAGAAGCTCAGGTAGTTGATTCCTCCTAATAATTTACAACACCCAGTTAATAATCACAATACATAGTACTTTGCCAAAACCAAACACTGATCGTCCTATTTCCTAAGTTGCAGTTTAGTGAAGAGGTAACTTTAGCAAACTGTTCCCATCCATCCTGAGCACGTCCCTGTTAGTGTCTGCAAAGCAACACAGCACAGAAGTGGGAAATATATGTACCTTAGGGCAAATATACTGAAAGACAATATATTAGCAGTAGTAAAAAATTACAGTATTTATACATTGAATTTAGAATTAAAAGAAAGTATTAGGTCATCTAATCAAACTTCATTTTGTTTCCCTTCTGTGAAACCTTATAGCTTGTATCTGTCTCCTAGGTGTGTATCTATTCTTGACTAGCTTGCAGAAAAACAATCATAAGCATGGAAACTTTTTTTTTAATAGCAAAAACTGTTTCACTGTTAAAAAATGTTCCTAATTTATCACCTTAATTTGTCCGTCTTCAACTGTTGGCTTCCTATTCTTGTTATACTTTTTTACACTAGACTGTACAGAACCTTAATTCCTAGTATTTTCTCTGTGTGAATCCACTGAAAAAAAATTAAGCACCTTTCAATATGCTTTTTAATAAACTAACATTATTGAGCTCTTTAGGTCTTTTACTGCAAAGTATGTTCTCCAGTGTTCTCATTTTCATGTTTTTCTGTTATTCTCTCAATTTTTCAAATATTAAAATAGGATCAAAACCATGTATGTAATATTAATCATAATTTGTATGAGTTCCATACATAAAGGAACATTAATTAATTTTTCTTTCTGTGTACAGTCTAGGAAAGCACTGGCTTTTTCTTGCCATGATGTTACTGGGACAAATATGAGAGCATACCTTGTTATATCCCCTCATCTCAAACTCTCATGTAGCATCTATATTCTATAATATTTCCATCCTCTATTTATTCCAGAGGCCATAGGCCGTAAGATTGGCTTTCAGTGATCCTACTGCTATAACTTTGCATTTGGCTGTATTAAAGCACATTTTGGTTTGTAGGATCAAGGTAACCAAATGATTCTGATAATTTGTCAGAGTGCCTTGTCCTTATCATTATTTATGTTTCTATCCTTATTCTTAATTTTGTACATGTTTCTCCCTCATTGATTCTGGTAGATCATGATAATCATTTCACTCACAAGTATTTTTTGACATATCAGTTAATCAATTTTCAGCCCATTTAGCTTGTGCTTTATTGATATTATATAGTGCAAACTTTTTAATCAGTCATGTTATTGAATGAATTGCTTTACAAAGTCTAAGCTAGGCAATTTTATTAGACAAATCTGTAATCTTATAAAAATCATGTTACTATGATGAGAATTATTTTCTCTAAAACCCTTCTTCCTTCCATTTATTATAACTTTCTTTACTCTTTACCAGTTAGACTTTTTATCAGCTCACTCTTTCTTTTGTCTTGGTTGATGTCAGGCTAACCAGTTTTGCTGCTTGTTCTTTCAAAATTAATGGCATACTAGCATTCTTCTGGAATTTCCCTGCTATTTCAAGATTTATTAAAAATTAATAGAAGAGATGCCCTCAGTTATTTGGGCCTGTTGATTTGAATAAAATTATCCCTAGCAGATGCTTTCTGATATTCTCCTCAATTACTAATTCTTGATTAGTGAAATCTGTGTTTGCCAAGCTAAAATGTAAAATATGGAATGTTGCCAAAGCTTAAGCTTTGTGTTTATACTGTTTGTAAAGCCATGAGTCCTGTAAGCATGCCCTATCTTATTTTTAATGTGACAAAAATAATTAATAGATATCAGAGACAATCTGTTACCAGAAAGGGTTGAAAGCTTTATAGTTGTAATTACAGATATAATTATGAAAAATGTTAAATATGGATGAAGTTTTCACACTCACAGTTTAAAAGATAAAACAGACTGTTGTTGGATTAAAAACAGAAAACTGGTTCTGTAAGTACAGTACATGATGACTTTAGACTTAAATTTGAATAAAAGTAAAACATAACATTTAAAAATGACCCTTGGAATGCTAAGATTATAAAATATCAGAGGAATATTGGTGCCTAAACAAATCTGTAATCCTTAAACTAGAAAAGTACTCTCTGAAATTTCTTCAACTGTCACGTTATTTTGGGTGACTCTGTTACTGGAGTCTCCAGAACCTGTAATGACTCCGGCAGCAGCATTGTCCTAAGCTGTAATCTCTTTCTGCACAAATTAGAAGATCTGTCAGTAGATCTTAACTGCAGTACTACTCTCGCTCACTGAAGTTAATGATTATATATGTGTCTGACTTCAGTGACAGAAGAGTTTGCTGACACTGAGTATACTTGGAAAACACTACACCCAATAATAATGATAAACTACTACTGCAAATTTTAGAAATACCAATATAACTGATTTATATGTTAATATTGTCCTTGTTAAGCTGAGGTCATAATGTGGTAATAATTATGAAAGTGATAAATAGAAAACTTCATTATAGAAACAAAGCTGTTGTAATTATTAAAGTACAATATCATTATTCTAACAATTGTGCAGGAGCAGCTGTTATTACTGTTAGGTCTGTAAAAAGAGCACTAGTGTAAGAAAGTGGTCTAGGAACCATCTGTTAATAGCAGTTGGACGTTCAGAGTTTCCCACTGGAGAAAATGGATTTGACTGGATCAGCACAGTAAGAATTAAGATATGGCTTTGGGAATAAGACACGTTTAAAAGGACAAATCAAAGGAAATTTGCCTAGGTGCTTAGATTCTTTTCATGGTCACTAAGCAACAAATAAACTTTAATCTTTCTCCATGTTTGTTTTTTTTTTTGCAAGGACTCAGATAAAAAACAAGCACTTTTCCATCTAGGCTTCCTATCTTTTAAGTTCTCAGAGTCTCTGAAAACAAGTGTAACTTGGAATAAAAAAGAAATATTTTAATATTTTTGACTACCTAATGCAGCTATATAGCAGTTGCCATCTGAGCTTCTAAGAGGATATATTCTAAAGAGAAAAGTTATACAAAACTTCCCTTCTGCATGATGTTACTGGTTATAGCAAGAACCTTAATTTCATATTTTCTGATTTTTATTGGTATAAAATTACAGCCATTAATTATGTTTATGCCATGTGTATCTTTTTTTTTTTTTTAATTCGGTAAATTCTTTAAATTCTTTAAGGAAAATCTTTACATTGGAATCCAATGTTCTGTGCTCTAAAACTGGCTGGTGGCATAGGGGGAAAGCAAACTAAGGTTGATGACTTGGATGGCAATAGGAAGTGTCATTGCTTTTTTTTTTAACTTAAAGGGCCTGTTATCCTTTAAGTTATCCACATGTAGGCATTTGGTGTTACTGATGTATTCATCCACATGTAGGCATTTGGTGTTACTAATGTATTCAAGACACTCAAGCAGGGCACAGGCTACCATGACGCATCCGAAAAGCACAAGCAATCTCTGTGAGGAAAATAAAATTCAGTTACAAGTCTTGGGTGTTTGCATGGATTCAATTGCAGGAGGGAGCTTTAAATCTAGGATGTGAAGTGTTGGTGACTAAACATCTTATTCTGCATTTGATGTGAAAATCTGTTCTTTTGTATGATTAAGTGTTATGAGTAAAGCATTTGCAAAAAGAAGTTAGTATTTGCTACCCTAGCAATTAGCATTTGCTATATCAGATCTGTGACCTGGGAAATTCCGCTACCATTAATCTGTCAGTCTATACATATCTTGCACTTATATTTTGTTGCTTCAAATAATTCTCTACAGCATTGTTAAAATCAGGATGCTTGTGGCACAACTGACCTTACTTTCCCACTATGAATTCAGCTTGTAAATTACATCTCATTTCATAAAATACTGATATGATATGGAATTTAGAGCCTAAAATAAAAAAATTAACGGGCTATATTAATTGTCCAGAATGGTGCAGTGAAGTTGTTCCAGAGCAGTAGATCACTCTGGTTTTCAAAATGATGACAAATTAATA